GAACCAGGAAGTCATGGTTCTATTCCCAGTCAGAGCACATGCCCAGGTTGCAAGCTCAGTCCCCAGTAGGGGACATGCAAGAGGCAGCCGATCAATGATTCTCTCTCATCATTGATGTTTCTATCTCTCTCTCCCTCTCCCTTCCTCTCTGAAATCAATAAAAATGTATTTAAAAAAAGAAAAGAAAAAGGGATTGCAGTGGCTCAGTAACAGAGCTGAGTTATTGGGACTTCCTCCTCCCTCTCTATGCTCCACCTCTTCCCCTTCTTCCTCCTCCACCTCCTCCTCCATATCATTTTCTGTGGGTGGGCTTCTGCTGTATGGCCTAGAACCATGGTCGGCAAACTGCGGCTCTTGAGCCACATGCGGCTCTTTGGCCCCTTGAGTGTGGCTCTTCCTAAGCCTTAGGAGTACCCTAATTAAGTTAATAACAATGTACCTACCTGTATAGTTTAAGTTTAAAAAATTTGGCTCTCAAAAGAAAATTCAATCATTGTACTGTTGATTTTTGGCTCTGTTGACTAATGAGTTTGCCGACCACTGGCCTAGAAGATTCCTGTCCCTCCTAGCTTATGGACTGAGGTAGAAGATGAGAGGAATCTTCCAACAGATTCCTAATCCCCCTTCCTGTGGAAACAGAGTGGATATGTCCAGTGGTGGGACGACAGTCATTGGATGGAAATGACAGAGAAGCCAATTTCCTGTCAACAATTCCAACACTTTTAAGCTTGAATGACGTCTCTCCCCATTAGGAGATTGGTGGTGGCAAGTGACAGAAAATGCAGCTCAAAATGCATGAACAATGATGGTGATCGATTGGCTCCCAACATAATGGAAAAGTCATGTGGCAGAGTGGCCTCTCGATTCATCAGGGCTCTGTCTCTTCCCCTGCAGTTCGCCCAGCTCTGTCTCCATGTGTGTCTGCTTTGTCGCAGATTGGCTTCCTCCATCATAATCAGTCAGAGCCTTGTTCCCAGCTGGGGATGGACCAAGAGTGGCTTCCTGTAGTCACTGAAGGAAAGTCTGAAGGGATGGCTCTGCCTGGACACTATGGCCAGGGCAACACCCATGATGACTCCTGGGACTAAATGGCAAGAGGCATGGCGTTGGGCCAATGCATTTTAATAGATCAGAGTCCACCTGGAAAAGCACAACTTAACAATGGGACAGGGTGGAAAGACACTAAGAACACAGACACTGCCTACCACGGGGCCACAAATTCATTTACAGATAAGGAAATGGGGCCAAAAACCTCCCAAGGTTCTACGCCTAGTTTGTGGCAAATCTAAGACCAGATATCAGTGGTCTTAACTACAGTTCGCTGGTTTTCTGTTTTATTGTTGTTGTTTTCCCAAAAGTTTCCCAACTTGAGTCCAGGTGAATTTTATTTATTTATTTATTTATTTATCTAATCAATCCTGACCCGAGAATATTTTTCCCATTGATTTTTAGAGAGCATGGAAGGGAGAGAGAGAGAGATAGAGAGAAACACAGACGTGAGAGAGACACATCAATTGGTTGCCTCCTGCATGCCCCTGACCAGAGCTGGAAGCCTGCAACTGAAGTACATGCCCTTGCCGGAATCGAACCCAGGACCCTTCAGTTCACAGGCTGACGCTCTATCCATTGAGCCAAACTGGCTAGGGCTGTTTTGTTTTTTAATTGAATGTATTGGGGAGTGGGCATTGGTTAATAACATTATATAGGCTTTAGGTGTACAATTCTAGAATACATCATCTGTATATTTATTGTATTGTGTTTTCACCACCCCAAGTCTACAGCTGGCTGGTTTTGCATCAATAATGAAAAATAAGGCCTTGATGGGTAACAAACACCCCATCACTAGGGAGAGTCAAGCCGAGGCTGGATGGCATCATAGCTATAAAAGGAATGACCACAGTGATCTTCAAGGGAGGACAGAGGCCTCTATTATTGGTGCTCTGTGGGAACAGCACAGAGATGAGACAACTACTCCCAAGATGGGACGGTGGAGATGGGCCCTGCAGCAGGGATGGGCTCATCCTGTCCACTTTCTTGGATTCATAACTTCCTGAGAGAGGCTCTGACTCCTCTCTGCTTCCCCTCCTCCCCGCCCTGTTCCCAGGCTGAGATGGACAAGCTGGGGCTGGTAATTGTGTTAGTTCAGTTTCCTCCCTGGCCCTGCCCTCCTGGTAATCTGATTTTCAAGGGACTAAGGGGTGGCAAGGCCCAGGCTCAGGAAGAAATCCGCTCCCTCGTGTCTGTTGGGCCTGCTAATTTGATAGAACTACTTGCTGAGCTTCCACAGAACCCCCATTAGGAACAAATTTCATCTGGTTTCCACAGCCCTGGCCCTGGAGAGCTCTCCAAGTCTCAGCCCAGAAGGAAATCCAGCTTCCAATTCAATTTTTACAGAAGGAAATTAAGTCTGTATTATAATAATAGCAACCAGAGATTGAACACCTACTGTGTGCCAGACACAGCACCAGGTGCTTTTTATCTGAAGACTCACCAGATGTGCTGTCACTGTTGTGAATTCACAGATGCTCCAAGTTGATCCTTTGGCTAATGATCCCTTTCGTCACAGGAGTCTCCCTCCATTTGAATGGACTTGCCCTTGGGTTTGGGGCCTTTGGCCAGCTCTTGTATAATCTTCAGAGTAACAGTGTTTCTAGGACAAGATGGCTGAGTGTGAAGCAGCATCTGACCCAAGCTCTTCTCCAACGCTTAGCCACTTGGGACACCCAAGCTCACCCTGCCCAGCATCCTGGATGGTGTGTGGCCAGGTGAAAAGAAAGACACTGGGCCCTGGGGAAAAGCAGCTTCACCACCTATTAGCTGTGTGCCTTTGACAGGTTATCTAACCTCTGAGCTGGGGCCTCCTCATCTGGGAAATGACAGTGGTATAATCTACACTGGCAGTTATGAGAATTAAATGAAGTAAAGGACGTGCAACCTAGTCTCCGTTTCACTGTGTGGGATGAGAATTATGACTCACTCTGCCCAAGAATTTTCCCAGAGCCTGCACCACCTGTCCCTGGCCATCTGGCTCTCCACTTGACTTCCTCCCCAGAAATCCTAGGGTCCTCACGGAGTTTGGGAGGATGCAAGGGGACTTGCCAGGTTGCTCATCACATGGAAACTGGGGTCATCTGCTTGTTCTTTGAGGGTCCTTGTCCCCATGGAGACAGACAGACAACAAATACATGAGTGAATATGTAAAGTATTTTGTGAAACATTCTCTGCCCCAATAGTACTGGGGCCCCAGCTACTGCCACCCATGAAAGTGACAAGTAACTTTCCATGCATTACTTCATCCAGACAATAGGCACCTGCTTCCCCAGGCAGTCAGCCTACTATCAGAATCAGTCTGGATGTCCCAAGTTACAGTCTGTATTACCCCCGACCCCCAAGGAAGCTCCTTTTCTCAGGCTGGGCTCAGCCCCCTGCTTCTGCTGCCACCATTGTTGTGAGTAAAGATTCTGGGAAGCCCTGGAAGACACCCACTCCCCCTGTCACAGAGCTCCCTGCCTCTCTTTCAAATCCATTCATACGTCACTGCCTCCCTGACTCCCTGATCCAAATTAGCCATCCCATACATGACCTCACCCCACTTTATTTGTCCTGACTGCCCATCTCCTTAGACAAAACAAACAAGTTTAGCAAGGTCAAATTACATAAAGTCAATATACAAAAATCACCTGTATTTTTATAATTTGTTTTGAGTTAACTTTTGTATATGGTGTGAGGTAAGGGTTGAAGTTATTTGTTTTCATGTGGATATCAAATTGTTCCAGCAGCATTTGTTGGAAACATTATTGTTTCTCCACTAAACAACCTTGGTGCTTTTGTAAAAAAAAGGTTGACTGACTAACCCTAGCCAGTTTGGTTCAGTGGCTAGAGCATCAACCTGTGGACTGAAGGATCCTGGGTTCGATTCCAGTCAAAGCACACGCCCAGGTTTCTGGTTCAATCGCCAGTAGGGGGCGTGCAGGAGGCAGCCAATCAATGATTCTCTCTCATCATTGATGTTTCTATCTCTCTCTCCCTCTCCCTTCCTCTCTGAAATCAATAAAATTAATTTAAAAAAAGATGTAAAGAGGTGAGGGGTGAATCACACAGATATCTGGAGTAAGAGGGTTTCAGCCAGAGAGACTAGCAAGTGCAAAAGGCCCTGAGGAAGGAGCATTTTGTGCAAAGGGATGACATGATCTGACTGAAATGTTAGCACAATCACCTGAGTGTGCTGCTATGTGGAGAATAAACAAAGGAAAACAATAGGAAGATAAACTGGGAGGCTCTTGTAATAATCCTGATGAATCTCGGAGGGAAGATGGGGTTGGGAGGTTCGGGGGGGAGAGAGATTAACCTGGGAACCTTTATGCATATATGCATAGCCCGTGGACACAGAAAATAGTGTGGTAAAGGCCTGGGAGGGGGAGGGATGGGATAGAAGGAGTCAATGGGAAAAAAAGGGGGAACATCTATAATACTTTCAACGATAAAGATTTTTAAAAAAAGTGTGGTATTGACAAAGGTTAACCAATACATCAGTGGAACAAGTAGAATCTAGAAACAGATCCACACAAAATGCACTCCATTGATTTTGAGAAAGACAGCAGGCACTTCAATGGGTAGGGGAAGTTATACCAACAATTTGTGCTACAATAACAAGTTACTCATGTAGAAAAAAATGAACCTCGGCCCCATCTCATACACAAAAAGTAGTTCAGTATATATCACAAACCTCAACACGCAAGCTGAAACTCTAAAGCTTCTGGAAGAGAACATGGGAGACTATCTTCATAAGCTTCGAGTAGGCAAAGATTGTTTTAAAAATACAGGGTACAGAAAGCAATAACCATAGAAAAATGGACATGCCCTCACCGTTGGTTGGAGTATTGTCCAATACACCAAAAGGTTGCCGGTTCAATTCTTAGGTTGTGTCAGGGCACATGCAGGAGGCAACCCATTGATTTTTCTCTCTCCCTTCCTCTCTCTAAAGAAAAAAAAAAAAATTACATCCTTGGGTGAGGATTAAAAGAAAAAAAATGTATAACTTTCCCTTTCCTTCTAGGAGGGTCTGAGAATCTCCTTCCACAGCAGCCATGCCCCCTGTACCTCGAGGTGCCAACACTCCCCACATGCTCCACGCAGAGCCCCCAGCACCAAGTCTCCATGTCTCCCCAGAGCACAAGCCTTCAGGGATCATTCCAGGACCCCTGCCAGAATTCACTCAACAATTCCCTTTAAAGCAACTTAAATCTTATCCTGCCTTCTTTACCTTTGTCCTTAACAATCAATGCTGTGAAATCGCTAGTTTGACAGGTATGTCATTATTCTTCATTACATATTAAAATAAATTCCTAACCATTAAAAATATTCTAAAATATGTGAACCACCTAAAATTATTTCACATACTGTTTGTTTTACATGTTCTTGGGAATGTGTGTGAACATGTGTGTGTCTAATGGGATGTGTGTGTAGTTATACATGCGTGTGCATATGGGTGAATGTGAGCATGGGCATGTGAATGAATATGCATGTGAGTGTATATGTAAGTGTTGCTGCCTGGTAGGTGAGTATAAATGTGTGTGTGTGTGTGTGTGTGAATGAGTGTAAGTATATATGTCCTGAGTGTGTCTGAGTGCATAGTGTGCATGAGTGTCTGGTGGGATGGGGTGGAGGAAGATGAGAGGATGAAGGGTCCTAGTGGGGGGTGGCCACGTTCCCTGCCCCCCAGCAATGAGCCCTACTCACCAGGAACAGACAGGGCAGAGAAAAGGCATGTGGGCCAGCAGCCCCTCCAGTATGTCCCTGTTTGTTTATCCACAGGCCCTTCAGGGGGAGGGGAGTGTCTCCTTGACCACAGGAGCACCTGGTTACAGCCGGCATCCTGGTAACCATCACCAGGGACTGGGAGTGCTTCTGGGAACAGCAGCAGCCAGCAGGCGGGGGCAGATCCTCTCTGCTATATTTACAGGTCTGCATTTAGCACAGGACCTTGAGACGAGGGACTGAGCTCCCAAGTCTTCAATGTGTTCATCCCCCTGGCAACCTTATGCAAAGGACATTTTCAGGAGCTCAGAGAGGTTAGGTCATTGCTCAAAGTCACACAGCTAGGTGTTCAGAACCAGAGTAGGACCCAGTCTTCTGGCTCTGAGGTCCAGGGTGTTTCCACCACAGCACGGGAGCACCGTACTCCCAACGCCATTTCCTGGCCGTGAGAGCCCTGCAGGA